ATATATATATATATAAATTATAATTTATGAATATTATTGATTTTATAAAACCATAAATAAATATTTTGAAAGACCAATCAAAAAATTTTCAAAAAAAAAACTGGAAACATTAATTAGTAATGTATAATCCATGCATTATACTACATTACTAGTTCCTTCTTCTTCTTTTTTTGTGCAAAACAGTGACAACAATTAAAACCTAGCTTCTAGATACTACCCGACTCCCCAGTCCGCCTAGCGGTTCAAAATTCAAATACGCTCAAATTACAAAATTCAAAAGTGAAATGTATATATTGTGTTTCACATCAAGATCAAGAGAGTCTGTTTATGTTTAGATACACATTAGATCATTTATTTTTTTTATCAAAAAAGGTTCTTTATTTTCTACAAAGAAACTCTTAAGAGTCCATATGCCAACAATCACAAGACATTAATTAATTAATTATTGTAAAATATTGTATTGTTATTATTATTAATTTAAAAATTAAAAATTACATTTATTTATTGACATTAATAGTGACATATGCGTTATCTTATCTAAATATAGCTTAATTGTAGTGACATAAGCTTCACTCTTATCTTATCAAAATATAAAATATTTTTTAAATTTTGAAATCAAAACTTTTCTAACAATTTTTTATTATCTTATTCAAAATAACAATTCTAAAAGAGAGATTTACGAGAATTCCTTGGATTATTACAGCACGCAGAAAGAAAAAGTAATCCTCTAATTAAATTAAAACTGGCTACTGGTGATACTTGGTTGCGGCAGCTTCTTGAAAATGGCCTTAAGCAGATCAACATAGAGAGGAAACTGCACCACAGCGTAGAAAGTAGCGGGCAAGCACGTAGCGATATAAATCGGGAACAGAATGTGCTTGTACTTGTCCTTGAGAACGAAGAAATGCGCAGCGCAAAACGAAACGAGCATGGAAGCAATGGAGACGAAGAGCGAGCTGAGGCCGAAAAGAAGCTTCAATGGCAGGCTCTTGCGGAAGTCCTGGGCCTGTTTCCGGGAAGTGAGGATGGCCAGGAACATGATCAGAGCCGTCACGGAGAAGCAGAGCCCGATGAGGGAGGCGATGGCGAAGGCGTCGAGCGCTGGCTGTCCCTCCAGCTCCGGCTTCCCCTTGTGGGTGCCCCCGGGCACCGAGCTCGAAGTGGCGAAAGAGACGCCGGCTATCAGCGCTGCCACCACCGAGCAGGAGTTCGACGTCTCCTTCAGCCACTCCGAACTCTCCTTCACTAGTTCTTTGTGTTCTTGCTTGAAGATTCCCCCCCCCCCCCCCCGGTTTTGCCGTCTTTGTTGGTTCTGAATATGAAGTGCTCCGGGACTAGGCTTGTCTCGTACTACATGCGAGTATTTTTAAGTAAAATAAAAATTTTAAACCCTAAACCTTAAACTTTGTTCGGATCTTCTCTTGTAATAATCTCTCTCCAGCCTCTCTTCAACAACATTAATAATCTTTAGATATATCTAATAACTCAAATTTAATTTTATAATTAATGTAACTTCTTAAATAATTTTTATAAGATTAAATTTGAGCTATTAGATATATTTAATAATTATTAATATTGTCAAAGAGAGAATATTGCAGGAGAAGATCCAAATTCAAACTTTAAACCTTAAAACTTTCACACATAGAAAAACTCTCAAAAATATTTCTAAATTAAGTCGGACCTGAAACCACTTGATATCCCACATCATTTGCATGGCAGCACCAGCAATCTGCCAACTTCTTTCACTGTTACTGGAAGTACCTGCTGCCAAGTGCAACACCGTGTTCTCCCTGCTATCCACTTTCAAAATCAAGCTACCAAACAGGTCCTTATCCAAATGATTGTTCAGCGCCTCAACAACCTTGGTTTGTCTGTTCTTCACTGCCATCAGCAACACGTTTTCGTTGTTGGAGTTCGTTTGGTGCACAACGCTGCGTATTTTGTCTTGAACTGCGAGCACGATCTCCACAATGCCATTCTTCGCGGCAGTCATAAACACAGTCTCCCTTTCGTCAACGTGGTGTGCTTCTCCCAGTTTGTGTAGTTTTATGTTCTTCATTGCCACAACAACCAAGCCTTCCTTGTCGTGGAGGGAACTTGGTACTTTGTTTTGAAGCTCCTTCACCACTTCTACTATGCCTGCTTTTGCCATGCCAACGAGTGTTGTCTCCTTTTCCTCTTTTCTTGCCGCAGATTCATCCATTCTTCTGTGTTCTTCTGGCCTTGAGCTAGATGCATCCACCACTTCAAATATATACGTATTATATAGGTAGTTATGTTTTAGGAATTATAATATATACGTATTATATAGGTAGTTATGTTTTAGGAATTATAAGGTAAATCAAATATCAATTTTCTTCTTCGCTCTATTTATTCACACCAAAATGAAGTCATACCAATGCACTCAATCAATCATTTACGTTTTGTTATCAATCACACATACATAAGTTTCTTCTTATATATAAAAAAATTGCTACCATCACACTCTTTTAAATATATACTACTTCATACATCCCATAATAAGTTCTATTAAAAGTTATTTTATATAAATCGAAAAGTTAAAAGTTAATAATAATTTTAGGAATTTAACTTTATTTGTCAAAATTATACAACACAAACTTACTTTCTAAAATATATTATAAGAAATATAAATGAAAAAAAAATCATTAATACTTTATTTTCTTCCTAAATATATGGGATCGGAGAGAATATATTGTAATGATAAAACTATTATATAGGTATAAGATATGAGAACAGGGACAGAGATGAGAACATAAATATTGAAATCCAACCCACTTTGTCCCATTGTCATCCCTACATGCATGTCTCATGTTGAATATATATCTCAAGCATGGGTCAGTGTAATTCAGATCCCATATGATGTTAAACCAGATGTTAATTTTATTAAATTAATTTGACCTTAGATGGCTTACGAGCCACTAAATTTGTGCACATGATGTTTAATCATGTTATGGTATGGAAGACAACCATTAGAAATCCCTAGTTACTATTCAGCCCCAGAATTTCGATAAGTGCAATCTACCTCTCTCGAGGTATGTGAGTCCTTATATATACTAATGTCGTATCTTTGACACAAATCCCTTGATTCCAGACTTTCTCCTTTAATTTGTTTCTTGCTATAATCCATTAAATTTCGTTTTACCCTTTTATTAACATTTATAACTCCCCAATCTTTTCATTTATGATGGGCTCTTGGCATGATTTTGCGATTGACGGGACAAAATCTACTTTCCTTATACTGGGTGAAAAGTAAGTTAGATATAACTTGACCTCACCATACTAGACATGATATCTAGTTCAAGCTATGGATGAGTAACCAATGTCGATGATCAATTGATTGAACTAGTTAGTCATTAGGAGACTAAGACGATACAGAACCTAGAGGCTCAAGTATGAGAATGCAAAGAGCCTAAGTATTTAGTCGTCTTTTTTGTTAGTGACAAGTAGTTGCCACTTGCCACATGGGAGATTAGTACTAAACAAACTTGTTACATTTCTCTGATAGTTTAATGGTGTGTTTGGATGAAAAATTTTACAAATTCAAAAAAATTTAAATTCTTGATATTTAAATTACTTTGATTTCAATTTCTATCATTCTTAAAATATTTATTTGGATAAGTTAATTCAAATTTCTTAAATTTTAAATTGTTAGGTTTGATATGATAATTTGATTTTACTATCATAAAATTAATTTTAAAAATATATTTATATGTTGAGATTTTTAAATTAAATTTTATAAAAATAAATATTAGCTAATTTTTAAATATTTAATAATTTTAAAAATTAATATTAG